AACCTTGTTCGAGATTCCGAGTGAGTTGGGAGAGGAGGGGAGGATATAATTTGAGCTCCAAATCTGTCAGACTCATCCTGCAGTAAGTTTGCCCATCAAAATTTAATCTTTTCTTGGGAGACTATGTAGCTACCAGAGTGTGTATGAAATAATTTTCATATCGGTTCCACTTATTCTGGAAACATTTCATCTGACCAAGCAATGTCTCTGTCTGATTCACCCTTTGTAAAATTTAAATCTTCTCTCGTACTGCAGTTTTAATCAGTTCGGTCTCTCAAAAGGTAGGAATTGGAACTAAATATCATAAGTTGAAGTCACTGCACAGCTGGAAGGCTTATTTCAATCTGTATCAGTCGAATATGTATTCTATTACATGGATAACTGCCCTGTTTAGATTAGCAATAAATGTGCATATTACCCAGCTTGTCCTCATGCAGTGACAGACTCCAGGATACATTACTTATAGTAAAATGCTTCACCCAATTTCTATTGAGCTGTAGAGTCTGTCTTTTCTTTTGCATCCTGTGAGCTAATCTCCTCCAAGGACATTTTGTCAGTGTTAAAATATCATTCATTCACATCGCATGAAAGAATCTAAAAAAGTGTACTATCACAATAGTTTTCATCCAACACAAAGAAATTCGGAATTGTGAGATGGTTGATGCTGAAAAGGAAAACTTGCTTAGAGTGTTTTGAATCTTTTCCCTGTTTGTGGATGTTGCGGGAATCAAAAAGAACTCTGTGGTTTGATGCACCATTTTAGGAAATCCAGATTCAGGATAGACTTGGGCCTTAAACAGAATACACCATCAAGTTTTACAAAAAGATATATGGCAATGTTTCTGACAAATCACTCAGCAATCTTGAAGACAACTGCTCGGAGGAGAATCTCTTTCCACAGATTTCTACGTAATATGTAGACTTCAAAAGTTGGAGTGGAGGATAATAGGGAAAAGGCATTAGTCGTTTATATCCTCACTTGTTTAATTAATTAGTTGAAACCAATATTGTTTGTTGGGATTCAGATGTTTCTTTTGAAGTTGAACCAGTGAAATTTTTATTCCTTTTCAATACTACCAAGCACCAGTGTAAATTTGAATTTGAAACAGGCTCTCAGGACAAAGTTGATGTAATCAAAAGAGTCAGCAGGGGTGCAAATGCTATGGCAACCCAATTGTAATAAACATTTAACTTGATTTCAGGTCCGTGCAACTCGATTTCAAATTTGTGTCCTGTTCTATGTTTCTAAATAATCATCATAAAGTCTGTCAAATCTAGAGCCATATGGAGAGTAATACAATTAGGATACATCAACCAAAGCATGAATGCTAAGTAAATGGGGGGGGGGGGGGAGAAAAAAATACTGGGTCCTTAATGTAAACCTGCACAAACAAATAATTAGAGGATCTTAATAGGAATACAGATATAGTGAGTCTAATTCCAACTTTGGTGGAGTTTTTAAAATGAGATTTTATTAGGATTTCCTCAAGAAATGTAATTTAGGAAAAATTTGCTTTCCTATAGCATTGTACAGTCACCATTTTAACATATACAACAACAATTCATTTTCAAAGTTAAGGAAAATAATGTTTTTAAAGGTACTTGACTGTTGAATATTTCAGGTACAAGTCACGTGTTTTAATTATAAACTGCTGAGTGCAAATTTAAATGTTAAATCTGAGATTCAGATCTCACAAAGCTTTAGTTTTAACGGTTTACAGAAATGACTGCTGTGAAAGTGTGGAATAGTTTAGAATGGGTTTTGAAATGTTGAAAAATTGTTTGTGCGAGATTGTCGTTTATTAGGTGGCTGTGCAAGAAAGGCATCAAAATATCTGCAACCAGGAGGTGATCTCTCTCACTTAATATTATGAATGCATAGGACAAAGTTATTAAACTGCATAATCATGCCTCACATTGTTCTTTCAGGGATGATACGAACTGCAATAGCAATTTCCTTGTATCGAACAAATGTTAAAGTCATACAGTCCAACCAGGATGCTAGCTGATCAAGCTTCAGTTAATTAGCAGGTCCTTAATGGATCTGCTTACATTGAGATGGTATTTTTAGTCAAAACTCCATAAATGTACATAGAAGGTGTTTTTCCTAACAGAGTGTAGGATTTTGAGTTTGTGGTGCATTTTGTGATAATGTGGTTTGCACACAACGATCTGAGAGATGGTATTTACATTTATGAGTTAAGTTACTGCATTTAGTTGTATTAAAAGCAGGTCAGCATAATTCAACCATCAATAACTTAAGTCATACAACATGAATTTTTAAACTAAGACCGATTTTCCTCTGAGGTTGATTGAGTTCGGACAGCAATATTGGGTAGGTTTCCTTGCCCAGAGGCAACTCAAGTAATCATTCTCTAAAACCAAGATAGTGAGCGTTAGTTGCTAAGCAACCGTCAAGTCGATCCCACCCGACACCAAATCTTCCTTCATCTAAAATATACATCCACTTCCAGCAAGTAATAACTGGATAGGGATTAAATGGGAAATCGACTCATTGTCACAACCCAGTTCAAATCCAGAAAAGGAAATTTTGGACTGGAAGAATTCTATAAAGTTACTTAATGTAAATGTTCAAAAAAAAAGTCTCTCCCTGGTACCATGAAATCAAGTGGCTGGGCTAGGCCATTTCAAAGGACAATTAGGAGTCAGACACATTGCAGTGGGTCTGCAGTTACATGTTATGCCAGCCAGGGAAAGATGGCAGATTTCCTTCCACAAAGGACAGTGAACCACATGAATTTTTTTTTTTTGACAATTCATGATTGTTTAATGGTCACCATTATGGAATCTGGCTCTAAATTCAATAAATAACATTTAGAATTGCAATCATATAATTTGTGGTCCCAAAGGATTAAAATCTGGCTTTAGATTACCTGTCCAGTGACACTGACGTTTTACTCTTAAATGTTGGTTCTTTTAATCTAATTAAAGTTTCCATAATAAAGTAAACAAAATTAGCTACATACTGATATTTGTTGTGTTTCACTTCACTGCCCACCAGTTTCCACAAATCCAAAAATTCTAACTTTGTAAGGTAGCCTTCCAGACTACCGTGAGTTTATTTTACACAAGATGCAAAGATGTAAAGCCTTACCAAAGACAATTAACTGAGGATACCAATAGGTGAAACCTCTCCAGTTCTCCTAAACAAAAGTGCTGCAAAAGGTACATATATATAAACAGTCCGTTTGAATGCACTGAGAGAGAGAATCTGGGCACAGAATCCAAACACTTCAGTTTAGCAACTGTCAGCCAACCGTAAGCTTGGGCTACGGCAGGACAATTATTGAAAATGTTTTACATTTTCAATTCAAATAGGCCCCTTTGCTCAAATTACCCTTGAAAGTATTCACTCAAAAGTATACAGGAATAGTTTTTTTTTAAAAAAAACTCCATGTTGCCATTTGACTTTAATACATACTAATTTGGGATTTAACTGAAGTACCTCAGCATCTGCAACTAGGCATTTATTGTTCAAATTTGTAAGTGCTTTATAAACCCGCTAGAACCGTGTCACCAAAATATGAGGGCAACAGGGTAGTAATTTCCATTTGACTGAATAATTAGTAAAATGCACATCATGGCAGATGGATGAAGTGTACCAGGAATCAGACAGACAGCATATGGCTCCGTTCCCAGTAGTAAGTTCAGAGTCAAAATACAAATTGCCTTCGAGGACAAGGTAGGGATGTTGGAATATATGCTACATAACATACGATTGAAAAATATGACTGTAAATAGACATTTTTCCTGTTGCATACAGCATGCAGCCAATACTGCAATGATTGAAGTTATGCTTTTACATGTTTATATTTACAGATTTTTCATGTTTTGATGCTTTTATATTCAATGCAGTGGTGTGCAGGACTAAGGTACAAAATGTGGATATTTATAGAGAATGCCTGTATTAGTTAGGTACTGGACTCTGATTTTTAAAAAAGTGAACTTTTGTTCAAGATTTGCATTATATATTGCCTAAGTTGTTAATTTTGACACGGAATATTGCACAGCCTTGCAAAAGGCGGCTCACCATTGTTTTATTCCAAAGAGTTCATGGTTCCTTAAAATACGATCACGGCAGCCACAGTTCTAATGAAGTGGTTTCAGTAACACACCAGCATTAATACTGGTTTATGGGTTCATTCCATGAATGGATGCAAGGGAACTCAAAGCCCTTAAGCAGAGTTGAGGTTAAGAAATACGAAATGTTACTAATTAATTGAAATTTATCGGATGGAAGTTTCAACGTGAAAAATGTCAATTTTTACAGACATTGCTGTACAGATACAAAAAAATGCTTATTTCTATATACATTGCAGTTTGGTGCTTCTGTTCTATTTGGGACCACATTTGTACTAGAGCCAATAAACAGTCATGTACAAGTCTCCTGTAGAGATTTTTGCATTGAAAATAAACCATAACAAAGCTGATCTGTACTCTCTTTCATAACTGCTCTTTTCTGTGATGGAGTGGAACTGGGTAAACTGGATGGCAGCAATTTCTGCAGGAATTCTCCCATCAATTCAGTGAAAACCCTGAGTGAGTTTACCATGGAAGATGTCTAAACCCTGCAGAAAGTTTGCTTCACCCAATTTATATTACTTGCATTAAATGTAATTCAGAATAATATAAAAAAGAGTGCAAGTTATCAAGAATGTGTCTATTCCATTCAAATTGGGCAGTTTCACTCATTTGTCAGAATATTGACAGAATGAACATTTCTCATTATTGTTGGCCCAAGTAAAAGAATTGAGAGAAGTTATTCAACATACAAAATCTAAACTAAATGTTGAGCAGATTTCCTCGAGAAAACAAGTCTCAAATGCTTTATGGAAATCCTCACACTAATTAGTGGATTTTAGGAAGGTGGTTGGAGAGTGAACAAGAAAATGAATTAAGTTAAAATGAACCCTTAACCAATATTGTATGCAGTGACCACAGTAAGCATCAACACATTCAAAAACTCCAGAGTACTAAGCTTCATGTTTTATGAATATTTATTAAAGACAGGAAAGTTTACGATGATTAGATACTTTCAAACCATTACAATCTCCCATCACCATGGTAACAACAATCTTATTACATGCACTTATTTCCAAAGCTTCTTGATAGACATGTTCTTTTCACTGTCCTTTTGCATAACCTGCAATTAAGGAAAAGATTTGCAGATGAACAGGGCAGATAATCATTGTGAACAACACAGCATAACGGAATGACCAACAATGCAACTTCTTTCAAATTAATCTTCATTGATACTCATGGGTTCTAAAAGCAGATCTGAGCACTTGTTTTATTACTGGAAAATGTACAAGTTGACAACTGTGGTCATGGGTCAATTTTGCTGATCATTCAGAAGCCATCAAGATATGGGGCAAGTCTGCCACAAGTCAGTAATCAAAGCGTTCCTTCTGCCAAACTATGTCGTCAGATAATGCAACTATATTTCAGCAAAACACCAAATGCAGGATCCTCCTTGACAGCTTTGTTTTTAATTTCTACTGTACAAGTGCCAGAATGGAAAAAAATCAAAGGGAGGAAGAAAACAAAACTCCCTAAAAACACTTGGAGTTAGTATTTGCCGGCAAAACAGGAAATGTAGAGTTTGTTGTTCAGATTGAAGGGCTGAAAATACTCAAAGGAGCAGTGCTGTTCATGGAAGTGTGGGTGAGTGAAAGACAAGAGAGGATTGTTTTAAAAAAAAATACTAAACATGCAGGCAAACAAGAGAACAAGAGTAAAGAATTAAAGCATTTGTGCAAAACATTGGTTAGACCTTGGCTAGAGAATTTTTAGATGGGCCATTGTGAGGATATAAAGAACACACAGTATAGATTTTCCAGCATAATAATTCAGGTGAATGGTTATTAAAATAATTTGCTGATAAGGAAAGTCAAGATGAATTAGTAAACATCTTTATCAAAACCAAAAAAGTGAACACAAGGATTGTGTCTTCTGGTTTAGGAATTACTGGAGAGGTGATCATCATTTAAAAACATGTCACTTGAATCTAACATCTTAGCATTTCAGAATGCACCAATCAGGGAACTAATACCACACACAAGCGCAGTCCCTTTAAGATACCACGTGTGTCAATTTTAAAGGGATCACAGTGCAATAAACAGGCTGTGGGATGTTAGAATATTACTTGAAACAGCAGATGTTAGGAGAAAATTATTACAAAAGGAATGTTTCTGGTGCAGAGTACTTTGCTATAAGATCTCGCTGCAAATTAACATAGTACTCTTAATGAAGCTTAAGGATTTCTTGTGAGAAATAATTTACAACACATTATTGCTGTTGGTGAGGGAAAATTATAGTATATCATTCAAGTCAGATTTGTACAACTTAAGATATCATACCTTTGCCACTGCCATTTCAAAGTCTTCTTGTGTGACATGAACTCTTCTTTCTCTTAAGGCATACATGCCAGCTTCTGTGCATACACCCTGCAGAATAAAAGCATCGTTCAAAAATTAGTCCAATGAATACTGCAGATAGGTGGTCACAGTGATGCTGATGTAATACACATATCTATGTAGTGCATTGAATTAGAAAAGTTTAATCAGCTGCAGTAGAGTTATGCATGAATGATATTACTGATCTACCATCCAGATGTACCAAATAGCAAATTAACAAGTCTGCAGCAAGTTAAACATTTTAATTTTCTATTAAAACAAATCTAATTTAGTAAAGAACTTTACAAGTGCAAATATTTAAATTTACAACGTCTTTCTGCTTCATGAGTGGAGTAGATTCAAGTCTTGGGAAATACTATTGCTGATTATGATGTATAGGATTTACCAACAAGGGCAGATTTTAGATGAAAAAGAGAAGGGTCACGGACTGGCACTAGTGCAATCCCTAAAAAAAAAATACACATAGCAGAATTATGCCTGAACAACACTCACCTTAACCTCTGCACCTGATGCCCCTGGCATCAACTCAGCAATCTTGCGCAGATTGATACCACGTGTTAAGTTCATTTTGCGAGAATGAATCTTCAGAATGTCAAGACGAGCCTGAGGGGGGGAGTCAGGAAGCAAAAACAAGACTTGCACTCAGCAAAGCAGTTCAAGTATGTGCACGTTATTAAAATATATATGTGTTGACAATCAAACAGATTGCTTCTCTCAAAAGCCAGTCAATTGTATTAGCTTTGCATCAAAGCAGAGTCTGGGTTCACTTGGCGTTTAAGCAAAATATCATTAGTAACTGGCCACACTGATTTACAGTGGCATGTGAAATTCCATGTGCTGTAGTTAACTGAAAGCTCATGTGGCAGCAAAAGAAAAAAATCTGCTTTAGAAACTAAAGAGTAGCACCCTTTTAATTAAATACCTTCAAGCAATAAAAGAAACTATTCAAACTTCTTTAAATAGGCACAGAGCTCCCATTTCCAGTTACGGTTCATAAAGATGGCTAGAGAATTTACAGTTTTACCTTGATGACATTCATCTTGCCACCATTTAGGCATTCAACACAAAAATCAGAAACAGAGTACAATCCCAGGATACCATCTGCAACCAATTAGGAGAGTATGGCCAAAACAGATGCAAATTTTCCATTTACAAACACCAATGTCAAATTATTGGCAAACAGAAAATGCAGATATCTTTCCAAAGAATGTCACTTTATGACTGATGGTACAAGGCAAATCTACATTTTTTTTTGTGAAATAACATCTCAAAAGCATCATTCTGATCATCTACGTGCATGATACAATTCCAAACTCACCTCTTCGTTTGGAGGAGGGAATTCAATTTTCCGATCAATTCGTCCTGGCCGCAGCAAAGCAGGATCAAGAATGTCAATTCTGTTAGTTGCCATAATTACCTGTGCCAAACATGGAAACAGCTGTAATCAGTGATGTGCAGAACAAATATAATTTAGATTCTGTTTACAACCCAAACAGATTATTTTCATTTCTCCCTGGCCTGACATCAACCACACGTTTATTCCTCCAGCCCTCTGTTCAATCATAGACTTTGCCTCTCATTGCCAAGATAAATGCCAGGAACCACTATTCAGCTGGGGCTCCGATGTGTGCACAAAGGGATGTACTTCTCCACATCACAGCCCGATGCACAAATTCTAGACATTCAAATACTTTTTCTAGCAGTACTGGAACATGAAGGAAGAGAAGCTCAATTACATGAAAAAGGTTCCAAATATTCTTTTCCTCTTCGGTGTTCCTTTCCAGCAATTGAACAACCATGTTATGGTGCACACTGTTAGTTTGCACAAATGAGAGAGAGACACTTAGCAAAGTTAAACCATACCTTGATATTCTTAGTGGCCTCAAATCCATCTAGCTGATTTAGAAGTTCCAACATCGTGCGCTGCACTTCACTGTCACCACCCGAGCCTCCCTCCAATCGTGAGGAACCAATAGAATCAATTTCATCCATGAAAATAATAGACGGAGCATGCTCTCTAGCCATTACAAACAGCTCACGCACCATACGAGCACCTGCAAAATAGGTGAAAAATATAATGGCTTAACAAGAATTTTTTTTATGTATATCAATTTGAATTACAAATTCTTACATGCAGGTAAGTGGTCAATGTTTTAACAAAAATGCATACATAAACACTGACTACAGAGTATTACCTGCTAAGCCTGTACTGGTTACATAAAAGTTATTAACAATTCACTGAAGAAGTTTTCTGTGAACAGCATGTATTATCTTCCCAATTTCCACCATTAGAGAGAAAAAGGTGCATCAAGTTATTCCATATCTATTCTAAATTAAAATTAAACTTCACATTTCAAGAGAGTATGTAGTATGTCAACAGATTATTTTGATCACATTAGGTAGTATTGCTCTCAATGGCTCAGGAGGTAATTGCAACACGATCACAGGGACACTTTAAATCAGGGGGTGGTTCCAAATTTCAACTGAAGGAGCGAGACTGTCAAACAGTTCCCAGAGAGTCCAAGATGATTTTTCTCCATTTATAATACTTGTTCATTTGCCAGCATTCAATTTCTATTGCTGAATTCCAGCACGTCTCCTACAATAATGCCTCCTTTGATCAGCTGTCACACTGGTTGACACACCTCCAGGGACATTGGCAAGAAGACTTCAGGAGTATACTGGTATTTACAAGGAGTCACCAGCAAAATAAATGTTAAATAATGAGATTTCAGTCAGTGCAATGATACTGAGACCAATGTAGTTGTGTATCTCCCATGCTCAGGGAAAACAAAAACAGGAAAGATCAGGAATCTTACTTGCAATTAATATCCAGTGAAACTCACAAAGCACTGGTGTTTGAATATCAGGTGAAGAAATCACCTTTTCTTTGTTTCACATCTTTGTTTCACTGCTGAGTAGCCTAACATCATGCAATATCTGGGCAGACAAATGAACAACTACCATCTGAACAGTGAATATGCAAATGTATCTCAACTTGTATCAGGTAAAATCAGGCATGAAAGAAAAAAATGAAAATAAGTTAGACTACAAGTCACTCCCAAATTCCCAAATATCTTATGCAAAGATCAGCTAACATGTTAGATCTGCACTGAATGATCCGATCTCAGCCAGACCTCCAAGAGGATACAACTAGCTTCGATGATTAGCATAGTGTGGCAGGGACAGCGTTTGGAACAGGCCAGCCTGAATCCCTATTGAATTTGCTAGAAAATGTTCACGTGAGTGTTGAATACAAGTGCAAGATCAACCTTTATTTAGGAGACACATTTGGGCACCGGTAAGACGCAAATCAAAAACAGGCAGTTTAATGAGAATCCAGATGTCTGCCAACAGAACAATACCCAGGCATAAATAATTAATAATTAAATTCAAAAAAAAAGGAAGACAACCCGCCAAGAGAGTTCAGGGGCAAGAAACAAAGGCTGAATAAATTCTGTTGTATAATGTACACAACACATCTTCGTTGCTTGGTATAGGTACTCATCAAAACTCCTTTGATAGCACAATCCAAACCTGCAACCTTTAACATCTAGAAGGGACAAGGGCAGCAGATATATGGGAATACCAATGCCTGCAAGTTCCTCTCCAAACCACATACTATCCTGACTTGCAACTATATAGTTGGTCTTCCAAGATCACAAGGTTAAAATCCTTGAACTCTCTTCCTAACAGCCCATTGATTGCAATGGTTCAAGAAGGCAGCTCACAATCATCTTGTCAATAGCAATTAGGAAAGGCAATAAATACCTATCGAGACCGTAATGCCTAGGAGCAAACAAAACAAAACTAAATTTGAAACAGAGAAGTCAGACGGTTCAGCGTTGAACCCAACACCATGACTTGCACATTTAACCTAAGTTGACATCACGTTAGAAAGCACCACATTATTAGCGATGCCATCCTTCAGAGGAAGGATTAAAAGAGGTGTTAAGCACATACCCTCGCCAATGAATTTCTGTACAAGTTCAGAGCCAGATACGCGGATGAAAGTGCAGTCAGTGTGATGGGCCACAGCTCTTGCTAACAGTGTTTTCCCAGTGCCTGGAGGTCCATACAGCAGCACACCCTAAAATATAATTAAAAATAGATGAGCTCCGGTGTCCGTCAGTAAAACCCCGCAGGAATGAGTCTTACAACAGATTATTTGGCTTTAACCAGAAATGAATTCAACTAAGAGTATCCAAAGCTGAACTCAGTCACATAAAGGATTCCTGTTAAAGGTGCAACAAGAACATTCTCATTGTATAAGACTTTCTGGAACCTTTTGTAACTGAGAAATTAAAATTACACTTGTCTGAACTACAAGCCAACAAAAGTAACCCTACACCATCATCTAGACCAAGAGCAGCAGCAATTGTAAGCTTATTGCCATGGTCACCAACACAATAGTAGACATTTACCTGTAGCACAATGTTGAAGATTAAAAACAACTTAACACTTTAAAGTTTCATACTTTTAAGTGTTAAGCAGCATCAAGTAAAGATCAAAAGGTGTATTCATTTTAACGGATTTTCAATATATATAATGTAGTGAAATATCAAGGTGTTCGGAATGATGTGTGACTTTGGAATGGCTTACTAATGCAAGCTACTGTCAATCTGTTGCAACTATTAAGATTAAGTAACTCCAGACACACCGATGAGAACAAACATGCTGTGCACAGAGTGATGACAATAAAGATCCACCACACCAAAGATCTCTCAACTCCTCTGTGCTGTTGATCACTTCCTTGATGTTATGAGGCCAAGGAGTCCCCTACAGTACATATATTTTAAAAAAAAACTTTGCTCAGTAGTACTGTATTTTAAATACAGCTAAAAGGAGACTAGAAGTCAAAGCTTTTTATCTTGCATTCAGAATTAGGACAAAAACAGGCTTGATTAAAAAAAGGACACTATTTTATTACAGAATAAGAAGAGGTAAATACATTGCAATTTTTTCAAAAACGTTATGGAGACAGCATACAGCTGTATCCTGACTGCAATGAACTGACCAATCAACCTACCTGCCTAGTCTGTGAATTACAGCCGATGGCTAATTGTCATGCTGTATCTTCATGCCAATTATGGCCCAACCAATCAGCATCCTTTTCTGATTCAGTGTGAAATGGTGTGTCTTTTTCAAAGTTACATTCCACAGTCCTGGTTCTGATGAGAGCAAGATGAAAAGCTCCAACTTCTAGTCTCTTAGCATTTTTTTTGAGATAAGAAAGCAGGATCATTGCCCCTTATTCCTCATGACTGATTCAAAAAGCAAATACATTTCACGTCCTTAGCCTTTACCAGATTAATCACAGTACATACATTCTCTTGCCAGTGATATTAGATCTGCAAAATGCTAAGTGATTCAGTATAAAGTCCAGGCAAAAAGGTGACATAAACACTCCATTCGCAGCAACCTGTTGTTAAAGCCCTATAAATGAACCTTATTGGACAGGAAGTGATTGTGCTCTTCAGTGAGCCAGGAAAACACAGCAACAGACCAACAAACCAAGTCACTCGTTTTTGAAGAGAGGAAATGTGCAAAACACAAGAGAGTTTCAAGACTATCTTTACCATGGCATTCCAACAAGAAGCCTGTAATTTAACCTTGAAAACACAATTTCTGGCTTGGCAATAGCCTATTTTTTAGCACATTCAGCAGAGGAGTGTTGTGTTTGAAAGTTGTCTCCAAAAGCAAGTAGCTTTTGGCTCTCTGTCTTCATTTAAAGCGATTTACTTCAGCTCTAATAAACACGACACATTGTAAAATGTGTAAATAAGATAAATTTTAATAGCCGTTTTCATCTTCACCAACTTCTGTCTCAATCTGACCTAACAGCCAAAGGATAGTTTGTTAGATGGATAGATTTTCAAAGCGTTCTATTCTGAAAATTTATTTATTTTTTTTTAAAAGAAAAAACCATGGCACGTGGGCACAGCATTTGTCGCTCATCCCAAATTGCTCTTCATCTTAGTGGCTTGCTAAGGCATTTCAAATCGGCAGTTAAAACTCAGCCACATTCATCTCTATAAAGCTTATATTTATTTTCCAACCTTTTGAATGAAATGAGTAAAAAGTTGGACATGACTAAAGCAAGAACTGAACATTTCCATAAACATCAGGTACACAGTGGCTTGTACACCAAGTACTTGGATCCTGTACAGATCAGTTGCCAGCCAGCACCTTCCACACTGATAAATTTCTCTGAAATAACAATCTGAACTGCTTTCTTTACCGAGTAACCAATTACAGGTCAGGGGAAAAAAAAATTAAATCAGTAAAAGCAAGTAACACATTTTAAAACTGAAATTCTATCATCTGGGAGTGATAGAGAAAGTAGACAGGCAAAGGACTGAGTATGTTGAGTGATTATTTTCTAAACTTGGTTCCAAAGCACTAAAATTAACAGCTCAAAACAATATGTATCTCAGTAATTACTTGCACTTCTGCAGGAGTTTAAAATATGAAATGAGAAAGACATTAATGACTATATTCTTCTGCAGTAATTTTTCTACATCTGTTTCTCCTTCTGGAAAGGATTACTGCGCATTTAAAAATGTACCAGATAATAACACTCTTCACTCAAAGGCAGTAAACAAACATATTGCCACAGTGCTGGAAATCCAGAACTACGAGTCACAACACCAAGAGTTTTAATTCAATTGGATATCAATTTTTAAAAATAGCACTGGAAATTAAACCATGTATTCACTCCCACTCTACACATTAAGTAAGAAAAGCTCATTACGTCTTCAACAGAGTTTAAAATCAGCCTGACTTACACAGTACTGGAGCAGTGTAATTTACTGGGGAAGAAATGTGTCCAAATAATCCACTATGGATTACATCATACTCTGCCTCTCTACAAAAGCAGAATCTATGAGTAAACCCACCTGCACCAGGCTCTTCAGCTTTAAGTTTACATACAAACATTGACATGCAATAGGAATAGAAGTAGACCATTCGGTCCCATGAGCTCACAATGGCATTCAATAAAATCATGGCTGTTTGGTTTGTGTTTCAAATTCAATATTTCCTTCTAAGCAGCGTAGCTGGTGGGAACCTCTATACACGCTGACTGATGGGCCAATAATAGCTTCCACTTGCAGAAGGACCTCCGATGTCCGTGCAGCAGCAAAACAAATTAGAGGGAATGCTGTTCCCATGTATCCCTGATAATCTTAGATTCTCTTGCCTAAAAAGAATCTACCTATTTTAGTCTTTAAAGTATTTAATGAACATACCTCCTCTACCTTCTGAGCAGAGTTCCAAGGTCACACAACCCTCATCTTCATCAAGAGAAGGAAAACCAAACATCAACATAACAACACTGGCAAATGGGAAAGGAAAAAGAACAGACCATTCAAGCACAAACCAATCAATTAGAGGGGCTCCTGAAAAACAGTGCAGGATCAGATAGAGTCAGCATGGATTAACAAAAAGGGGAAATCACATTTGTCAAGTCTACTGGAATTTTTTGAGGATGTAACTAGTAGAATTGACATGGGGAAATCAGTAGATGCAGTTTATTTGGACTTTCAGAAGGTTTTCAACACAGCGCCATGTAAGAAATTAAACATTAATTTAAAGTACATCGGATTTTTTTGGGGGCATGTTAGTGTATTGAGATGGATAAGAAAACTGGCTGGCACACAGGAATCAAAAAGAAATAAATGGGTCTTTTTCCAAATGGCAGGCAATTAGTGGTGTACTGCAGGGATCAATGCCAGGATCTCAGCAATTCACAGTATATAGTAATGATTTGATTGAGGGAACTAAATGTAATATCTCCCAATCTGCAGACGACAAAGCTGGGTGGAAGGCAGAGCTGCAAGGAAGGCGCAGAAACATGATTTAACCTTCATATTGAAGCGTTTGACTAATTTGCTAGAGCTCTTTGAAGATATAACAAAAAGTGTAGAAGACAGTCCCGCTGATGTAGTAATATCTGGACTTCCAGAACGTATTTATAAAGGTGCTGCACAAAAGGTTAATGCACAAGTTAAGGTCATATGGGGTTGGGATAATTTATTAACTTGGTTAGAAGACTGGCTAACCTACAGAAAGCAGACAGTCAGAATAAATGGGTCTTTTTCTGGTTGGCAAAACATAACTAGTGGGGTGCAGTGGTTGGTTCACTAGTTCGCAGATGTTTCATTACCCTGCTGGGTAACATCAGTGCAGCCTCCGATGAAGCGCTGTTGTGTTTTCCCACCTGGAATTTAAACTCTGGGGTCCGTCCGTTGGAGTTGGTTACCTCATTTCCAGTTTTTCTTCGCCGTGGTGTATATGTAGGGTCTAATTCTACGTGTTTATTGATGGCCTTCTTAGTGGAGAACCAAGCCTCTAGAAATTCCCGTGATTGTCTCTGTTTGGCCTGTCCTAGGATCCTGATGTTGTCCCAATCGAACTGGTGGTTCTCCTTATCCATGTGAAGTGTCTGCGAACTACCAAAACTGCATCCACAACCCAAGCTACAAATCTCTCAAGAACCTTAGATAACTAATGGGGTGCTACAGGGTTTGGTCCTCAGGCACCAACTATTTACAATTTATATTTATTGACCTGGTTGCAGGGATAGAAGATATCATAGCCAAATTTGCAGATGATGCAAAAATAGGCGAGGAAGTAAGTTGCAAGAGTAAGTAAGAAATTTACAAATGGATGTGGATAGGCTGGGTGAATGGGCCAAAATTTGTCAGATGAAATTTAACACGGGTGAATGAAAGATTATCCATTTTGGTCAGAAGAATATTATCTAAATGGAGAGAAACTTTCAGAGTACTTCAGTACAGAGGGATCTCAGTGTCTTTGTGCACGCATCACAGAAAACTAGTTTGTGGTTACAGCCAGTAACAAAGGCGGCAAACGGAATTTTAGCATTTACTGCTAAAGGAATGGAATATAAAAGTAAGGAGATGTTGCTACAACTGTACAAGGCATTAGTGAGACCCCACTTGGAGTAATGTATTCAGTTTTGGTCCCTTTACTTCACTAGATCGATTCCAGAGGTGAGAGGTTAGCCTTATGAAGAGAATTGAGCAGTTTAACTCTATACTCTCTGGAGTTTAGGAGAATGAAAGGAGATCTAATTCTGATGTACAAGATGCAAGGGGATTTGACAAAGTAGACACAGAACAGATGAGGCATCTTCTGGGGCAATCCAGAAATGAGAGGTCATAGTTTCAAGAATAAGGGTAGCAGATTTAAATCTCAGAGGAGGAGAAATTACTTCTCTCAAAAGGGACGCAATCAGTGGCATTCACTATCCCAGACTGGGGTAGAGGATGGGACATTGAGCAAGTTTGAGGAGGAGATGGATGGACTTTTATTTATTAACAGATTGAAGGATAATGGAGAGTAGGTGGGAAGGTGGAGTCATGGTGGAGGTGAGATCAGCAATGACCATACTGAATGGTGGAGCAGGCTCAAGGGTCTAAGTAGCTTATTCCTGCTCCTACTTATGCTATTTTATTTGGACAAGCTGGGTGAGTGGACAATTGCATAGCAGATGTATACAATGTGGATAAATGTGAGGTTATCGAGGATGGGAGCAACAACAGGAAGGCAGATTTCCGAATAGCTATACATTGAGAGAAAGGAATATGCAATGAGACTGGATATCCTCCTGCATCAGTTGTTGAAGCTAAGCAGGCAGGTCCAGCAGGTGGTAAATAGTACGGTCGGTCTTCATAGCAAAAAAAAAAATTCAAATACAGCACCAGGGATGTCTTGCTGCAATTAAACTGGCCATCCACACCTGGAATATTATACAGAACTTTCATCCTATCCGAAGAAAAACGTTCTTACTACCAAGGGAGTGCAGTAAAAGGTTTATCAGAGTGATTCCTGGGATGGAAGGACTTACCTATGAGCAGAGTATACGATTATATTTGTTGGAGTGAAGACGAATGAGCGGGGGAATCTCATAGAAATCTCTAAAATTCTAGAAGAGCAAGACCAGTTAAATCAGGATGGATGTTCCAGATGACCAGGAAGTCAGAAACACAGTCACAGTCTAAGGATACAGGGTAGACTCCATTTAGGACTGAGATGAGGAGAAATATCGTCACACAGAGTGGTGACCTCATGGAATTCGCTTACAGGAAACAGTCGAAACCAAAACATTGTATGATTTCAAGGATATGGACTAAATGCAGGCAAATGGGACTAGTTTAAATTGTGAAAACTGGGTGGCATGGGCAGGTTGGTCTGAAGAGCCTGTTTCCATGCTGTTGACCTCCATGACTCTATGAGTTGCCTGTATCACTTGAGGACAAAGGGATCAAAGGATATGGGAGAAAAGCAAGAACAGGCTATTGAGTTAGACGATTTGCCATGATCATGATGAATGGCAGAGCAAGCTTGAAGGGCTGAAAGGCCTACCCCTAATTTCTATATTTCTTTGAAAATCCATTAAAATATTGCTACTAGAAGATTTTGGAAAAGCAACATGATTGTTCATGACAACAAACTGCCAGGTGTTTAATAAAAGTTGGTATGTTTTACTCTGAATAAAAAGATTTTTTAGAAATGTTACAAGTGTTCATTAAACTTAGCTGAAACCAATTTGGTTAATTTTGGGAAGAGGTGAACAAGTACGTTCAGTTCCCATTATCTGCTGGTTTACTATTCATGGATCAAAGTACCTGTGAAGACAGCCTTAGACCCCACTCTTTTCCCCCATTGTCTTGTCCACCCTGCCTTGGTAAATTATCCCAGTCCTTCGCAGGACATAGGTACATCCTGTGAGGTTCAACCTCCCACTGTTTTAACATGTTAAAAAATTCAACCTTTATTCTGAATATAGTCAAAAATTTTGCCTGTAAGATAACAATATTTCAAATATTTACCACTCCCAGTAAAGTGAATGCTCTCAATTAACTAAAACTATTTCTCACTAATTTAAACCTTTCCATGTCTTAATTGGAAGGAATATTCTGGGTTTATCCGATCAATACCATACACACATCAAATGAGGAACCACTGACTCATCTTTTCTTGAAATCCACCGTGATGTTTTTAATCAAAGCAAATGCCCAAGAAAGGAAGCAACTAAACAACTGGTTCAAATTAGGTGGCAATTAAATCAAATAAATTTGTACTTAAGATTATAGATACTGGTTTGTCATCTACAAAATAATCTAAAGGGTCGGCAAGCTTTCGCACTGTTGATGACAGGCTACTCTCCAGTCCCTTGGAAGCTAAAAAGGGGTCTGCTAACTCATTGCATACTAAAATATTAATTTTGAACTTGAAAGTTTAGAGTTGTCTACTATAAATATATGCACATAACAAAGCCAAGCACTTTATTGTTTTTAAGCAGAAGCTCTATATTAAATCTTCACTACGCATGAAAGAATACTTAGCAGATTGTAGGTTAATTTCAAAAGGGTACAGGGAGCAAAACGGAGATGGCAAAAAGAAAAAGACCGCCTTACCTTTGGTTGCGCAATGCCAAGAGCTTCAAACAGCTCAGGATGCTTCACGGGCAGTTCAATAACCTCCTTAATCTCTTTGATCTGTTTGTCCAAGCCACCAATCATTTCATAGGTAGAATCTGGAACCTTCTCAACCATCATTAGAGATACCAGAGGGTCCACTTTGTTGGGCAAGATTTTGTGTAGAGTGTAGCTATCATTTCTCAAAGCTACACGGCAGTTAGGAGTCACCTTTTAAAACATAAAAATACTGCAGTTGTAGGAAACAGTTAAAATAAAACAACTGATCCTTGGAAATAATGCAAAGAATGTAAGGAACCAGCAAGTTTCCAAAATCAAAAAGATGAACACCCAACGGAAAACATCACATAGCAATCAATTTGCTACTATTAAATAGCTGCAGAAAAATTAATTACAGACACTTGGCTGCAAACATAAATCTCCCTCATGCATACTCCATTACTCAAGGAAATAATACACACTTTTTTTAATAATTCATTCATGGGAACAACATCTTGGTAAGGGTGGTATTTATTGCCCAAACTTATTTGTTCTTGAGGAGGTAGCAGTGAGCCACCTTTCTGAACCACTGCAAACCACGTGATATCCAGTGCTACGACAGCACAAGTTTCAAAATCCTGTCCCAGTGACAGCGAAGGAAAACAAAGTCAGGGTGGTAATTGACACAGAGGAACATTTACGTTATAAAAGGAGAAGCTGGATAGGCTGGGACTTTTTTTCCCTGGAGCATATGAGGATGTGGGGTGACCTTATAGAAATTTAGAAAATCATGAGGGGCATAGATAAGGCAAATAGCCAAGATCCTTTCCCCCAGTGTAGCAGAGTCCAAACCTAGGGGGCAGTGGTTTAAGGTGAGAGGGGAATGATTTAAAAAGGGACCCGAGGGACAACTTTTTCACACATTGGATGGTGTGTATACATAGAGATGCTGACAGAGGAAGTAATAGAGGTGGATACAATTACAACATTTAAGAAACATTTGGACAAGAACACAGATAGGAAAAGTTTAAAGGGATATGGGCCGAACACAGGCAAACAGGACTAATTCAGTTTAGGAAACCTGGTCGGCATGGACAAGTTGGGCCAAAGGGTCTCTTTCTTTGTGGTATGATGACAACTTACAGGTTGTGGCAGTCCCAGGGATCTGATGTCCTTGTCCTTCTAAGAGGTCAAATATTGGAAAATGTGGTTGAATGAAAATTGAAATTTGTGGTGAAATACGGGCGGTGGGTGGGGGGGTCACTCAGATTAGGCTGCGTAGAAGTTAGGTTGCACCCCAGATCGGATAATTTTAACTTTGATATTTTAAAGTGAATATGTCAATAAAGATATACAACAGTATTTTTTTTTTAAGTAGCAAGCCAAGTTTAGGAAAATAATTACAGTTCCTATCACATAATGAATGCCAGACTTTCAAAAACAAATTTAAATCCAGTTTCTTTTTAAACAGCAATGCACACATCATCTTGATTGCAAGGAATTTGATACAAGACCAAAAATTTAATCAAACTCACAGCCAAATGGGCACACTCCACAGATCTGCAGTATTCTCATCTTTGATGTGGCTCAACCCCAAAACTTGCTTGTCACAATCACATTTATATTGAAAAATAGACTCTATAAAGCATCTCCCAAATCCTGAAAATAATCAAGGAAACTCACAATTCAAGATTAAATTCTGACAACTGCACCCAATGGAAAACCTGACCATATGGCTGCCTCTGAGCCTAAATCAGCAATTTGGAAATTCACCTATACTCCTTTAAAAGAGAAGACACACTGTTTTACAGATACAAATTGGGAGAAAAAAAAAAATCAATACTGTGGAATTTGAAAAAGTACACTAGGGTATAATATAAATGGTCATCTTGAAATAAATTCTGACAGCAAATAATTATCTAGTCAAGTACTACTGTTAGTTACAATTTTTGTTAGGATTCTACCGCATTGCAATGGAATTGTTAGTCTCATTTGAAGTAGACTAACTTTAACCTCATTTTAATTCAATGTTAAATTAAATGTGTATTAATATCCCCTTAAATCATTCCTTTCAGCACCCAATCTATTTCCCCCATGTTTTTTTTTCATTGAAGCAAATGAGAACAAATCTTGAGTCTCTAGGCTCTGAACCCTCTACAATGCAAAAGGTAGCACACCCAAACAAAAATCTAAATAGGACTTTCTATGGGTTATACAGAAATAAAAATAACCTGTTTTAAAAAGGACCGCACATACGTCTTTAAGTACTTAGTGGTACTCATTAATCTCTACAGTCAATGCATGCTAAATATGTTAGCATTAATTTTTTAAAAAAAACTCAATTCTAAGACTATTAATTTGACACAAGATATAAAATAGAATCTGCAGTTGCAACACCATACTTACATCATTAATGTCAATGTTCTTGTCAACATCCACAACAAATTTTCCCTCTGGATGAACCTACAATGGAAGAAAAAAAACACAAGATTAAGGTCTGTATTTTTTACTCGAGAGTTAACAATCTTTTCATTTTAATGCAAAAATGATGTGCAATGATCAACTAACACTGATGTAAAACTTTAAAAATAAACTCCCAAGTTTTCTCATGAACTTCTCAGAGTTCCAGTCAAACCATGGCAGGGATCTGAATGATACAGCAATGCCTAGTCAGTTGTACACCAAACCAATTTCTTTCTACTTCCTAACCCATAGGATCCAAAATCCAAAGTTCCTCCTCCCAAACAGTCCTGTAGCTAGTTGCTGAGGAATGGACCTCGAGTTGAGGACAAAAGAATAATGCTCCCCAGTACAACCTCTGCAAGATAAATTTGCTCAACTACTACCAAATACAATGGATAACTCCAAATTATTAATAGATACTGAATGATAAAATGCATTTTATTATTAAAAAAGACACGAGCCAAAATTTGGCAAAGAACATAAAATCAATGCTTATGTAATCCATACAGAGATTTCAGAAAGAGTCCCAATAAGGAACAATGGAATATCACACCTGACGTGTGTGCCAAGAGAACTTAAGATAAACACTTCAAAAGGGAGACACCCAATTTAAAAAAAAAAACTGAATTATGATCTTGTGCAGATTGCATCCCAGACAAAGGACATCATTTGATGTGAAATGAGAGGCTGTTCTGGGCTAAAGGGTATATTTGTGTTTTACACTACCAAGAATAGGCAAGAAAACCCAGGTCTGTTTAAAAGACATTTAGATAAGTACAATAAATAAGTAGTGTTTGGAGGGATATGGGTCAAACGCAAGCAGGTGGGACTAGTTTAGTTTTGGGATTATGGTCAGCATGGGTTGAAGGGTCTGTTTCCATGCTGTATGTCTCTATGACACTTTGTGTTGGAGAGCTAGGGTGGGGGTTGGTAGTGCGTTAGCCTGCAGTTCAGGTTCCACTGTGCTAAAGTTTACTGTGAAAAACGCAGCTGAGAATCACTCCTCTAGTACAGATTTAACTTGAATTTTTACAGGATGTAACTGGTATAGTTGTTAAGGGGGAGCGAGTGGATGTGGTTTACTTGGACTTGCTGAAGGCTGTCAATAAAGTTTCACATAAGAGATTAGAACGTAAAAAAGTGCATGGGATTAAGTGAAGTGTGACATGGATAGAGACCTGGCTGGCATACAGTGAGGGAACTAAATGTAATATCTCCAGGTTTGCAGACGACACAAAGCTGAGCAGGAGGCTGAGCTGTATGGAGGATGCAGGGATACTTCAGTGTGATTTGGACAGAGTGGGCAATGCATGGCAGATGATGTAGAATATGGATAAATGTGATATTATTCACTTTGGTAGCAAAAACAGGAAGGCAGATTATCTGAATGGTGATAAATTGGGAAAGGGGGTGGTACAACTAGAATTTGGTCAAGGTGGGGAAGGAACAAAGAATCTCAGAAACCGTACAAAAAATTTTAACTAGGCTATACAAAGGAACCGCAGTAAGAATGTTCCCAATGACGGAGGAATCCAGAACCAGGGGACTCAGTTGAAGAAAACAGGGTAGGCCATTTAGGACTGTGTTGAGGAGAAATATCTTCATCCAGTGAGGAGTCTGTGGAACTCTCTGCCACAGAAAGTGGTCAAGACCAAAACATTGAATGTTTTCAAGGAGATGAACACAGTTCTCAGGGTTAAAGGTATCAAAAGGAATCAGAAGAAAGCAGAAACAGGTTTGAGTTGGATGATCAGCCATGATTGTAGTGAATGGCAGAGCAGGCTTAAAAGAGCTAAATAGCTTCTACTCTTATTTTCTGAGTGTAATTTCACCATTTCATTCAACCTGAATTGTGGTTTTCACTTCTAGTGCACCAAGCAGAGCTCAAATCGCACACTGAAGCCCCCTCCAATGCTATCACTTTGCATTTCACAGCAGTGCATCTTTTCCCTCTGCTGCATGCTATTCACCTCAACATTACCTCCACATTCGAACTTCCAATACTCTTCTTGACAGTCTCCTAAATTCCACTTCAAACAAACTATAACAGCATGTCCAAAACTCCGCCTCCCGCATCTGGAGTCCTGCCTTCTTTCACCCTCGTCCTGGTCAATGTTTCCATACTCTCCATTCCCCTACACAGCAAAT